AAAATATTGGTCTTAATCCTTATTTTTCTTTCTTTCTGTAATGATCCTCTGTGTACTTCCCAAAGGACTGTTGCTTCATTGCTTACAAACCTTAGTTCTAAATCCTTTTTTTAGGTGACACAGCTCTCTTATGGACCTGAGCCCACAAATCAAATACATGTCAAAGAATACCTAATTTGGGATGTAAGAAATTACAATTTATAAACAACTTTGGCCAAAAGAAAAGACAAAAAGATTTAAAGTCATATTTATTTCTCAATATAATTTTGTAGGTATTATAGATCCATAAAGCAAGTGATAAAAAACTAACAATTATAATACAATCAAACTGCCAAATGTTTTTTTTTTTCACCGAATGTTTCTAGCTCCTTCCATCTAAATGAACACAATAGTTGTGCAAAACACTTTCGAAAGTTCTTTAGCCTCTTAAGTGGATCTCTGAGAGCAAATTTCAAAAGACTGTACATTACCAATATAATGTCTAATATAACTACATACATTAAAATCACTGGAAATAAACTCAAATATCAGCTTAATAGTTCTGTTTCTCATCCACAAAGTTGCAACCATTCTCTTTTAAGAAATCATGCTGTGAAGTTCAAGTTTGCAGGCCCGCCCTATGTGATCATTACTGCATATTTACCTTCCATGCTCAAAAGCTCAATGCATGTACACAGCACTGGAATGAATGAGAAACTGTACCATCACATCCTTCCTTATTTTCTTCTTCATTGTCATTGTCATCGTCTACTTTTACATTTTCTTAATTTTTTTCAGTAATCTTGAATCCCCCATGATATCCCCTTGCCCACCCCTTGTTTTTCTTATCCCCCTACCCCAGCCCCCCCATATCCCTATCCCCACCCCACATCTTTGAGAGGCTGGACAGGAGCTTCTCCCCAGCACCCACCCGCATCATGGCGACCGGTCTAGTCATCACAGCCATGTTGAGCTACCAGAGTCATCCAGCGCCGTGCACATCACCACTGGACACATGCACACACACATGAGCGAACCCTGAGCTCCGGTCAAAGCCTCGGGGTCGACACACACTTTTGAAGCGCCACTTTTGCAAAAATAACAACAGGGCGAAATATATAAAAAATAGCTGAGTGAAAAGAAAAAGTAAAAAGAAGAGTTGTAGATATAAATTAATTGAAAGCTCTCCATAAAAAACAAAAAGGAACATTTAAAACTGTGTGCAACGACTGGCCGGTAGCTGTTACCATACTGTAGGCAGATATATAAATGGTATGCCTAAACAGGTATTTGGATTCTTCTGTGGCAAAGCATTATCAGGGTTTCCTTTTTTTGGTGATAATGTACACTCAAAAGTTCAGTTCTCTTTATATTTTGGTGAAAATGTATAATGAATCTCACTGTAAAATTTTGTCTATGCAATGAGATTTATGAGGTGCCATTTATTGTCTTTACAATCACAACAATAACTTTTTTCTCTCTCTCTTTCTCTCTATCTGTTCTCTCCCCACTGACACTTCACTTAGCAATGAAAGGGAGGAGATCACTTGTGTTCATGCACACCTTTGACCTGAGTTCTAAGTTTATTTTGACCTTACGACCACACACTACTATGCACACTCTTTAATTGTCCAAGGCAACCACTGAATCTCAAAGGAAAGGAGACATGAGATCTAGCACTTCCTGTCCCTCAGCCGCCTGTCACGGTCGGCTGATGGAGATGGTGCTGGCACGGTCACTCCCACTCAGTTGTTCCTGGTGGCTTGGAGGTGAAGTCATATAACACTCGACTGATCCCTGGGACGCCAAGCATCTCTGCCACCATTTTGTTTACCAGCTGTAAGGAAAGACACTGGTCAGCAACTATACCATTACCTAAGGTCTAATAAAGTCTTATTCTTTCCCTCTTCTGCACAACTCAAGTGCACAGAAGATAAGCATGGTGCTTACAGGTTCGAAGAGAAAACAAGAAACCCAACAAATTTGTAGAAAATGAGATTCAATATTGATATATGGAAGCAACTCAAGCATGGTGCTTGTCAGTTATGTTTCTAGATGTAAAAACCTTCATCCAGTATCTAGTTTTATTAATTTACCCAATTGATTTACAAAATAGAAATTAGTAAAATCCAAGGTATATTTATCAATTCATTCATCTATATGATCTATCCATACACTTATATTTTTTCAATCATTTTGTTCATCTTTCAATTACACTTAAAAGTCATAGAAAAAATACTGTGACAAAATTATATGGCTTATAACTTATTCTGGACTATATTACATAATCATTTTCAAATTTCTTGACATATAGGTGGTGGGGACTAGACATAAATGACTAGTCAAATGAGTGCTACCCTTGCACATGCACAAACTGGATTAATTTCAGAATGAAAATGAAGAGACTTATTTGACCTGACTACTATCAATTTTCATTACAAATGCAATCATCTTCAAACAAAATTTGTAATCCTGTAAAAAGTTCCAAGAGAAACAGTATTCTGAACATATATGTCCTTTCTTGCCTAGCTAGATGGTATGGGTAAATAAACATTATAAATGGTGTAAAAATTTGTGACATAGTTCTGATTGCCAGCTTCATACAAAACATCCAGTCAATGTGACCTAATAATTGCTTTTTCATGTGAAAAAGTTAATAACATTAGACAAAATTCCATATCTCTTAAAATTATAAAACTATTTCCCAGACCTTCAATTGTATGTCAAATTCTTACTAACTTTTCTCTCAAAGTTAAATATCTCAAAAAACATAATCCAAAACTTCAGATACACATTCACCACACTATTTCTAAATTGTAAACCACTTCCAATAAGGGAATGTAAAAATGTGTCTTACTTCAGGTATGATGTGTTTCCCAGGTAACGCAGGAATGCCAGTCATGAAGTCATGAGTGATGAAAGGTCTGAGAACAAGAGAGCGCTGGCAGGATGGGAGGCGTGTTACTGGATCACGGTCAAAGTGCACAGGAATCAACACTACTGGCATCTGAGCAAGCTTCTCAGTAAACCCAGACTCAGCCAACACCTGAAATAAATCATAAGTATAAAATACAGGCAAGTTAAAATCAGTGTCTATTATGAAGGGGAGATTATTCTCTGATAACATACTATATATCAAGCTAATGCTTATTCCTTATATCATTAAGGATCCCTGGATTAATTATTAATTTGACTTCTAAATCACATCTCATACCAATTAAAATATAATTGTATTTTAGTTCTACAAGGTGACTTGGAGTTTTGGAGTAGAGACCATAATTACTGCAGACATTGTTTACATTAAGTATTAACCTAACAGGAAGGAAAAATTCCCCACATACACATCCCCACACAATAGTTTTTATTCCAGAACTATGCAACTAATACATCTGGACATCTTCATAGCATCAAGAAGACAACAAATGAATGGTCCAGAACTCAGTCTTTTGTCTTATAATATTCAAGACAAGATGTATATGCTCATGAATGTTGACAAACAATTTTGAGCCCCAAACAGAAAATGCTGTATATCCCCATCACCCATGATCACAGTAAATCTTGCAGCTAATGGGTAACCTCAACCAAACTGGGAGACCTATAATTAATATGTCTTCTATTTTCACACTACTTTTTTAAAGTAAAAAAAAAAGAGCAAATCATGTATATTTAAGTCACTCTTACCTGGTTGGCCAAGAAGTCAGCCTGTCGGAGAGTAGCCAACACTCCAGGAGTTAGCGTGGTAGGGGTGATGTCCTGTACAAGATCCTTGATTGCACCACCAAAAGCGAAGCACACCCTGCAGATGAAGAGATGATCCAAACAATAATGTCACAGTCTAGTTACAACATGAAAAGTATAAAATGTACACTTCCATCTATGGGTCCAAAGAGATATCAACAAACACACAAACTCACCTGTTGATATTATGGCAAATCTTGGGTATAAGACGAGCTAAAATTAAGATATCTTCCCACACTGGATCGGAGTCACAGGAAAGAGTACACACATAGCTGTATGTCCTGCAGTCTCCCTGGTAAAGTTGAAAATCTCTTATTAAGATCAATAGGATTGGGGAAACCATACTATGATTTATCTAGCTGACATATAGTTATCTTTATAAGAAAATGCATAATAGATTCTATTTTAAAAACTGCTGGTAAATAAATGGACTCTTAAATTAAAGAGTTGTTAAACCTCTGATTATCCCATGTCTATCTTTGCAACATGAAATATGAGTAAGGTTTTATTTCCTTTAGGAAGGCTGTATCAAGGAAGACAAGGCTTATTGTGAATTCCTTTTCTCTCCCTTCCATTGAAACACATTTATTCTGGTAAAAATCTAAGAAAGATCTCCTGCGCGAAATTTTCATCTCTAGGGCAGGAGTGTCAAGCATGCAGCTCGCCACACTCTTTTGTCCGACATGTGGCACATTTGATATTTCAGTCATGCAGTAAGCCGTTTTATATGATAATTAAGCCAGTCCTTCATTTTTCTATGCTTACATTTTTTATTATAATTAAGTTTTTGTAGTGAATGAAATAGCCTTCATCATTTATACATCAACCATGAGAGAGAGAGAGAGAGAGAGAGAGAGAGAGAGAGAGAGAGAGAGAGAGAGAGAGAGAGAGAGAGAGAGAGAGAGAGAGTGAGAGAGAGAGAAGTGAGAGAGAGAGAGAGAGAAAGAGATGAGTGAGAGTGAGTGAGTGAGTGAGTGAGTGAGTGAGTGAGTGAGTGAGTGAGTGACTGAAAGGAGTGAGTGAGTGAGGGTGATGGTGCTGCATGCTGTTGATGATGTGGTGTGCCGGTGATGGAGGATTTTATATATATATATATAATTATATATATATATTAGTCAATATTTATAATATATAATATATATATATGTGTAGTGTAATGTAGTGTAGTATATGAGTTATGTATGTATTATGATGTGGTGTGAGAGAGTGAGTGAATGAGTGTGAAGTAGATATATAGTGTAATCATGATGATGAGTGTATGTATGAATAGTATGAGTATGATGAGATGTGAAGTGAACGTTGACGTAAGTGTAATATAGTGATAGTATAGATTGTGAGAGTGAGTGAGTGATAGTGAATAGTGATATGATGAGTGATGTGAGTGAGTTGAGAGAGTAGATGAGAGTATGAGATAGTCGGATGCCTGGTGAGGCAGGAGATGAGAGTGTATGTTGAGTGCTGTTGTTGATGGTTGTGTAGTGATGTGCTGAGGTTGTGAGTGCATGTGAGTTGTGTGGTGTGTGTGTTAATGTGTGTGTGTATTTACCTGTAGTGAGCATTGGGTGTCATTATATATATTATATATATATATATATATATATATATATATATATATATAGGTTATATGATGTGATGTTTATCTGTTGTGTTATTTAGTGGTGAAGTGATAGTGAATTATATAGTGACTATATATATATTTTTTTTTTTTTTTTATTTTTTTTGTTTTATTTTCTCCTTGTCTGTATCTTTCTGCTGTATTCTTTCTTTTTTTGTGCCCTGTGATTTTTTGTAATAACGATGAGTAGATGTTACAATGACTGTGAGTGAGAGTTGAATAGTTTGATGAGAGATGATTCCAGTGAGTTGACAGTTAGAGTGCAGTGCGAGTTGCGTGTGTCCTCATTCCTCCCAAAACCTGCGCTCCTCATTCATTGTCGTCCTAAACCTTGTGCTAGTGCTAATGATGAGTCCTCTTCTCTTCCGAAATCCTCACTTTTAATCCTATGGAATGTTGCTTCGGCTGGATGAGATGGCTGGTCGTGTGATGCGTGTGTTGTGTGTAGGGTGCGCCAGTAATTGCTTGGCCTTTGATCTGTTGCGCCTGCGGAAGTAGTAAGTGATGAGTTTGGTTTAAGAAGTGTACAAAGAGATACGAATAACCACTCGCTTTATAATGAAGAGTTGCGACGAACGGGGGGCAGTGTGTACGTCAGAGTGTAAGTTACCCCACTGTCCGCGCGCGAGTGATGGCGGAGGGGAGTGAGCAGTAAATTGGCGGTGGGTGTAGGCTAAGTGTAGAGAATTCAGTGAGCAGATGGCATCAAAAATTACCATTCCTTCGCTGTTGAATCATAGGCTTTGGGGGGGTGATTTGTGTAGCGTGATAGTAGAATGGCATCGAATGTATATCATATGGTGACAACTTGTATGAGAGACAATTGAGACAGGCGCCGACAGGGTGGATCACAAAACGGTTGCAAAAATAAATGAAATATATCACATAGTAGCAAGAGCGTTGATTAAAGTTTGGGTGGGACGGGGAGCGCAGTGGATGAATACTGGTCGCGCAAACCAAGTGAGAGGATGCTGGGAAAAGGAGGGAGGGAGCGACGAAAACAAGGAGAGAAGACGGAGTTCGGAAATGGACGATGATGGCTGGAGTGAAAGCACACCGGGTATTCTAATGCGAGGTGCACGAGGCATGCGCAACGGAGTGTGAGGTATAGTATGCTATGCGTTACTGGGGAGAGCAAGCGAGAGGGAGCCCGCAAGTTAAATCAGAGTGAGAAAAGGAGAAGTGAGAGCAACGAGCAGAAGAAGATGTATGGCTGAAGCCTGCGGATCCAGAATGCAGATGATTATAGGATAGACAATAAGTGACGGGGGCGAGTGAATTAAAGGTGCTGAGAGACTCCTGGAAGGAGTATGCTGGAGGTTGAAAAGTATCACAATCCATATGAGCGATTAGCGAGAGGTAGCGTGTCTGAGAGCGAGGTGCGAGGTTAATGTGCGGTGATAACGGTTTCAGCGAACAGAGGCGAGGTGTAGTCTGTGAGGAATAGAAGGTGATATTATGTGCAACGAGGAGAGGAGAGAGAGATAGGAGAGGACACGAATCTGGTAAGATATTGGGAGTAGTCCAAAAATGCAGCTTACAATTGGTAGATACTTTTAATAAGAACGAATAATATGCAAGGAAGTGTATGCGTGAGGTGCGACCAGGAACAATTGCTATATCGACAATAAACATAAATTAAAATATTACACAACGACAATTATACTCTCGCGTCCTAGTGTTCTTCTACTGCTTCTCCCTTTTGTTGAATTCACTTCATGTGCTAGTGTCACGAATAGCACATCCTATACGAATACCACTATCTATCACTCTCACAGACACCAACCACTACACAGCAGTTATTACAAGAAATATCTCTATATATATATATATATATATACCGTTCCATTCTAATATATGATAGTCATCTATTCTGCACATATGGTACTTACTTTAATAAGCCAAGCTAAAGGACCTTGGAGATAAGTTATGATGAGTATGTAGTATGTCCAGTCCTGAATACTAAACTCTATCTCAAAGAGTGACCCTTCATTAAATCTCATACCAATGTGCCGAAAACCTGAGAAGGGACATAGATAATTAGTATATAATCTAAAAGGTTATGTGAGTTATTTGTTCCAATGTGAATATAATAGTGAAAAAACTAAAACCACAATAACATCACACGAACCAGTATAAAAATACCACACATCCACACTCTACATATTACCCAAACCTATGATTTTGATATTTCGTACAATTAGGTATTAAATTATTAAATAAATTATACAGGAGTTATCTTCAATATTAATAATATAATAAAATATATCATCATTGAGTCAAAACAAAATATAATAATATGATATCTAGAACTATATTATTTACTTATAAACCTAATGAATAATAAAATAATAATGTAAGAAGATACAAAATGAATAAATAAATAAACAATTAATACATGAACTAAGTCTTTCCTATAACACTGTCTTAATCATCGCATCTATGAAATATAATTTAAAAAAAACAGCAACAGCCTCACAAAATCCCTCCGCACCTCATCTTTGTGGAAGTCTTTCAATGGCTCGACCACTCTGCCCTCTGACCTGAGGACCCGCACTAGGTCTGTATCGTTGTGGTGGGTTTTGATATTCTGGGCATTACCCGAGACCATGGAAGAGGCTGATTCAATGAGGTCAGGCCGGAGTGTGCCCTGGCCTAGCATCACCTCATCTGCCCTCAGGTTCATTTCGGCAATCACTTCATTGGCTACCTGTCAGGATACAAGAGAAGCATTGTTACAGAAAATAACTAAATTTAAAAAATAACAAATACATAAGTCTTATTATAGTAAGTTAAACTGTTAGCATTGTTAGTACCCCTCACACAGACTCCATAATAAGGGGTGTTCTCATGCTACATTGCTCTTGGGAGGTTGTATCAAGAAAGACAAGTCCTAACCTGGCTCTCTTTTCTTTGCCTCCCTTATTCACTCTAATACGAAATGGCTTCATGCAAATATCTACAAAAGATTTTTACTTTCTTGGTCTTTTCATGCATTAACATTGCTAAATCATATACCGGTAATCCATATACCTGACACTAACTAATGACGGGTGTCCCACATATGAGACACCCAAAAAAATAAACATTGCCAGGCATCCCGCCACTGTGACGCTGTATTGGGGCTTGTGCAGGGAGCCCCGCCTGCCAATTTTGAAGCGGCCCGGAATCTTTTATTTTCGGCTTCAAAATAAACCAGCATTAATGGGTTAAGTATTACCCCAATGCCTCCTGGTTGACTCAAATGCCACAAAGCCAAATCTCTTGGATGCACTTCAAAAGGCAGTATGTGCCACATGCAGGCAACCAGCTAACTTACTTTTATGCCATAATGCACCAATAGTCTTGGTTCCAGGATTAGACTTCTATGGTACCATAAGAACTCTATGCTATTTCAATGTCAAAAATCTTACAAAAGCCTCCAGCCATTATGATAAAAAATCTGCATTTGTAGTAAAACTGGGACTATATACTATGACTGGACTGAGATATCAATGTCATGGTAAAAGTGTTCAAAGCAAGCCCCATTTTTGCAAAGGCAAGAAATATATGCCACCAGGAGGCATGAGTCAACCTTTTTTTTCATATTAAAATATGTACTTGGTTCTAATAAACCTCTGATAAACAAAGTAACATATTTTACAAAAAGTAACTATAAGAAAAAGTGCAGTAACTATAAGAAAAAGTGTTCTCTTAAGATTACAAACCTTAATAAAGGTATCCCCGATGATTTTTCGCTTTTCCTCTGGGCTTAAGGTCATACAAAGTAAATTTGTGACACGCTTTCTACCCATTGGATCACTACTATCCACAGGTATACTCGTGGTACCATCATAAAACTGGTGCCTCGCATTGATCACTGAAAAGTAAGTGTATTAACAATATGATTGCCTTCCAAGCATATATATCAATACTTAAGAAATAAGATCACACTTCAAAAGTTCATTATAAACCAAAGCAGCAGTTACAAAAATTAATTCTCAAATTTAAAAATGATGTTAAATTCAAACTTTTATAGCCATATCTATGTAAGATTACACTCCACATATCAATCCGGCTTAACTCAATTTGAACATACCCCTGAGTTTAAGGCCAAGCTTCCGCAGCGATTGTTCCACTTGCAGTGATTCATTCTTCCTCATGAACCCATTGTCAATATGAACTGCAATTACTTGTTCTTCTGCAAGTGCTTTGTGTAGAAGAGCTGCACATACAGTAGAGTCAACACCTCCACTGACCAGCATCTGAAAAAACAAATAACAGGATTCATGATCAAATTCCTGACTTTCTTCTTTTTTACGTCTGATAAATAAAAAATCCTCAAATCAAGAGAACAAATATACATCCCATATTTTCATTCCATCAATATTTTCAGAACTCATTCTATTTAATAAAAGTAATTTCTTATAATCTTGTTTGTTGTCATAGTAACCTGCCACTACTGATGTTTATAAACAGGCTGAAAAAACAACATCACACTTTCTAATCTTGGAAGCTTAAAAATGGAATATCTTAAAGTAATAGCTATCCTTCACAGAAAGCTTCCATTCCACATAACTAGCATTCATCTGTCCTCCCTCTTTACACCTTTATTCTTTAAGTCAAAAACCTTCACTTCTTCCATTCATGCTACTACAATACACAATATGAGTAGAAAAAGAACTTCTAACCCTACTCACCAATACTTTGTTGGTTCCTACAACCTCCTTAATATAGTTGATACACTGAAGTTCTCTGCTTTGGAGTGTATAAGTCCCTGAGAGTCCACCAATTTCATAGAGGAAATTCCTCATCATGGTTACACCTTGTTCAGTTAAATCCACCTGGGTAATATAATGCACATTATTAATGTTTATTCATTGCCAATGTGAATAAACCAATTCAAGAAAGCACTATATTAATCAAAAGGATATTTACTCAAACAAGTACTAAAATACCAAACACTAAAACTGAAATTTAACTATATACTCAGTTGTCTTACCTCTGGATGGAACTGAACGCCATAAAGGCGAAGTTTGTCATTTGCAATTGCCGCAATAAGATTTCCAGATGTTGCTACAACCTTAAAACCATCAGCCACCTTGTCTATACTGTCACCGTGGGTTAGTAGCACATTCTGTTTAACCCCCATATATCTGAAAATAATTAAACAACTGTGTCACTGCTCAACTCATTGGTAATTGTATTTTTTATCATAATAAGTAAAATCTAACATTTTTGAGAGATTTTGCTATCAACTCCTAATTCTACCAAATCATACGATATACACTTACTTAAATATATGGCAATAATTATCAACTTCTATGGTATACTGGCCATCTTCCCTTGCAGCTTTTCTTAGCACCGTACCGCCAAACTCTTTGTTTAAGAGCTGCATGCCATAACAGATTCCTGAAATGTCAATGCCAAGAAATAATTAATAATTTACTAAATTACACAAAAAAGAATACAAATATTCCTAGCAACATATGTAAATTTATAAAAATTACAATATATACATACATAGACTGCTCCCAATAAACCTACAAAAAACTACAATACATAAAATATTTCCATTAAAAAGATTTTAAAAATTTAATCTAACTTTGTAAAAGTGATGACAAAGAAAAAAATAATAAAAAATAAAAACAGGCATTATACTGAAAACAGGAATTATTCACATCCTAAAAAATAAAAATTCACAACCTAGACCCTTTCCTTAAAACAGACAATACTTACCTAAAACAGGTACATTTATTTTGAAGATATCAGAATCATACCGTGGAGCATCCTCGGCATAAACTGAACTTGGACCACCAGAGATTATTATAGCCCTGTGAATCAGAAAAAGAAAAAATGTTAGTGCAGAAAAAAATCAAACACATTATAATCACATAATAAATTACAACAATGTCTAAAATTAAAGATCAAATTCCCTATCATTTACTGAACTTTTTCATTTGTAAAATGACGTGAAAAAGTTCATGGAAACATTCAACAAGTGAAACTTCTGCTTTTTCGTTCCAACTGATGAATATAATCCCATACCAGTTTGAAGTACCCACTTCTCACTTCTCACTTTTGATGGAACATGAGCTAAAAATACACACCATTTTTATTACATTTTGCTACAAGTACACAAATACAAACATAGTAAAGCATAAAATATATGAATACAATACTATAAGTAGTTCCCTTTATGAATAAATGATGGGAGTGGGATCTGCAACTTGCATATATATAATAATTATCGAGATACTAAGCTTATCAAACAAACAAAAGCTCTTCCACACTGCTATCTTCAAACTTGCTGCTCTGGTCTGGCAAGTGTGTGCAAGTATCCCATTTCATCTTTTATATTACATAGTTTATCAAATTATTTGTATTTTCTCAAAGAACATTTACAATTTGATTTCATACAGGAAGCATGTGTTTCAACTATCTACACATTATTAATAGAAACATTACTCTAATAGCTACAATTTACAATTTATTCTCCTTAAATTCCTCGTATCTAAATACTGAATCTGGATTAAACATTCACTATACATGAAAATAACAAGAGTTTGTTTCTGTCTTGGAAAATCTTTGTGATATAGACAAAGCTATTCTAATTGCATATACTTAATTATTCTAAGCACAGCTCTAATGGCTGCAATGTTATCTAAACGTTTATATAGCATTTATTGCCTTTTTCTTTTTTCTTTTGCATATCAAATCAAAGATTTTAACCATATATCACACAAAATAGGTACTGACTTCATCTTCCTATGATAAGCTGCTGTTACTGTTGAAATATAGACTAATCAAAATTTTGTTTTAAAAATCACATTTTCAAGTGGAGCTCTGCCCCTTAATGGAAGCCTCAAAAACTCAAGGTAATTACCTACAAATCTATAATGTATAGCTATACTAATATCTATTTGATTATTACTTAAGATAAAATACTGAATCAATACTTTTTTTTTTGCTCCTAATAAAATTATATCCCTTTCATTGCAAATTCTAGCTCTATACTGACAGCTTTAATCAGAGCCGTATACCAGGGAAAACACAGTCAGCCACTCAAAAAAAAAATCAGAAGGTTGAGAAGTAAATAATGAACTCTGTTTGGTTGTGGCATCCACAGATTATCAATATTAGACACAAAATAAATCTTTAGCCCTACCTTTGAGTGACTTTAGCTCTTTAACCCATGACCAAATAAAATACCATGTTTATGGTGCAGGACACATATCCTCATCAAACAGCATTTGGCCTCGGCTTACTAAAAGCATTTTTAGCAGGGGAGCGCTTGGGCAAGAATTCTTGACGATGGGCCAAGAACTGTACCATTCCCTGTTTAAAACGCTTGGACTGGCAAGCAAGACTTGTTCAGTGATGTCAGACATATGGAAGTGTCTTTCTATAGAGTAAAAATCATAACAGCCCTTGGAGAGCATAGAAATGTCAAAATAACACACAACATATACATACTTGGGTTTTAAAAGCAATAGACAAGTATTCCTACCAAATCAACTGACAAGCTAGCGCTGCAAGATGGCAGAGAAGTAAATAAACCTACCCTAACATTTTTACAGCGCGCAATATTTTCTCCTATATACATATACAGTGCCTCTAAAACAGTGACACAATTCCAATTGAGAACCCTTACACTCTCATACGCTATCAAAACAAATGATCATCACAGAATTAAAATACAGCCCTACCCATTTCCATATATATGAATTTACGAACTTGAAAATAATAGTCACAAATACAATATCAACAGAAGAATGTTACTTGAATTTTTTAGACCTTTTCACTTGAAATATTCTCTATTTCATTGAATAGTAGATTGTCTTAAAATAATTTATGATCTATAAAAAAAACTTTTCATTCCTTTCATTTTCAGTTAATTTCAATTTCTTTGAATATAATTTTACGGAAATTACAGAATCGGATGCTGTAAAAAAAAAAAAAAAAAAAAATCCTTTCTCTAACGAAATATTAAGCAGAGTTCTTGGCCAACGCCTGCATTCGAAGGATTGTAACCAGTACAGTACATGAATGACAATGTTGTCATGGTGACGGTACACGGCTTGACTTTGCAAGTGCAAGTCTAACCATCTACAAGGGTTGCTTGAGAAAGCAAGAGAAAGTCTTGAGATTTTAGGCAAGAACTTTCCCTGCTTAAAATGCCTTAATACAAGACTAGGAGCCAACCGTCAATACAGATTTATTCCCTAATTATGGGCTCTTAAACCCTATTCCCTGCTTTTATGGCTTGCAGCATCCTGTATGGTCAATCCTGTTCACCGCATTCATGCAAGACCTGTCAAAAACTGGCATGATATTCCTAAACCTTTTGTTACCAATGCCACCTGGTAACATGTAACTGCATGTCATGGCTGTTGTGGACAAAGCAGTTCATCAGAAGGAGCTTGATTTTCTCCAATAGTAGCAGCATCATTTCTATGGTTAAACTTTTAAACATTCACTTTTGTATGTTATTTTATATAATATCAATACATTATCTTTTAGGTGCCTAATGTTGCCTGCAAACTACCATATGGGTCCTGCACAACCAGGGGAAACTATTGATGTGCGCCAACAACCCCGCTTAACCCAATTGATCTGGATACGTCATAAAAATCACACAGCCAAAAATACGGGCAGTGGGTTATGTAGGTGGCCAATATCCCGGGCATACAGCATGTAGGCCGGGATATTGGCCAAACACCCATGAGCAATGACAAGATTCTGTGCCTCCCATTTGCAAAGTAATTTTGCATTTTATTTTGATTTTATGGTATACAGTGTTGGGTAGTGTTTGGTACTGTTTAGCAAGCTTCCTAAAGTCACATCCATTATCCCATTATTTTGTTCTCTCTCTGGGCCAATCACATAATCATATTCCTAAGCTCTTTCTTCATGCTGGTGCTGACATATATTTCACTATCCATATATAAGATATAGCAAAAGAATGAAAATACACTTATTTACCAGTTGATATTGTCTGTTTATATACAGTAATTCTAAAAGTCTGTGTCTCTGCCTCTGTAATTATGCATCATAAATATCACTTGTCTCCAATATTTTTGTCTTTCTGTGGAGGGCAGTAACTAGGAAAACTTGGGGATCTGAGTGAGCACAGGATGGAGAGGGGCATGGATTGATCATGTTCACTGAGGTCAAATACCAAATTTACCTCATCCTCACTATTTAACATAATGTACTATTAGTGTGATGCCTAGTCCTTGAGTACCTGATACTACATTTTTGCAACCTAATTCCCATCTAAACATTTCAGAATATGCAAGAATCTATAGCAAACTATTACTGGACCTGTCTGTTTGGGGTTGTGTAGAAGTAATTTTTCAACATTTATCAAGAAAGTGAATGCTAATCATCACACTTTTCTACATATTTTAAAATATAGTTACAGCTTAGCATTAAACCTTGCATATCTTACTAAATTTTTATCTTCCAACACTCACCTATATCCTTTTTCTTTTAAAGTGTAGGCAGGGGTGTCGAGAGGTAGAATGTCTGACTCCACATTGAGCTCTCGAACACGTCTGTCGATGACCTTCCCATACTGTGCCCCAGCGTCCAGGATGGCGACGCGCTCGCCGACAGACCCATTCATGGCGGTGGTCTCTTCGTTGCTGTTGTGGCTGCCACTGATGCTACTCCCACTGTCCTGC